AATAGCCAATATGGAACCCTGTAGATGACCTTGATTCTCTCATCTCTGAAAATCATATTTTCAGGACAGATTATGCTTCCACGTCTTGAAGATCCGTCTACTTAATGGTGTTCCCGTTTGCCACCACACCTATGTGACTTCTGACAAAAGAAAATTGTGGTTTGAAAATGAAAGAGTTAATTTTGGACCTTGAAAAACTGGCAGGGGGAGTTTTTGGTCCAAAGCTTCTCTCCTGAGGTTGCAGATTTTGTCAGGACTGTGTGCAGTCACTGTGCTCTGCCAAAGGCAACAGGGCAGGGGAAGAAGGGTGAAAAGAGCTGCCTGGTGCAGAGGGCAGCCTGACAGGCAGGCATCCCTCTGAGCAGGCCAAAGGGAATGCATGTGCTCATCCTTTGTAACAGCCACGTGTCACCAGCTGGGTTCATATTATCTCATGTTAGGTGTCAAAAAATGAACTTTCTCCACTGCCTGGAGGGTCATTTGAGAGCAGGGGGTACCTCTGAGGAGCAGTGCATCCCTCTTCATTGTCCTTGTGATGAAATGCTCTTCTGACAGGCTGATTGTCACCAGCTGCAAAGGAATCCATGACTGATGACTAACAGTGGGTGGGATGAATCCTATCACCCTTCTGAAGTGAATGTCCTCTGGAAAATCTCAGTGCCTGGAAAGTGGAAACACTTCAGCATTAAACCAGTCCTGACCCTGGTACAGGTGTCAGAGCACTTGTCTTAGGAGAGGACAGCTGAGAGTGCACTGTGACAATCAGACCCACTCTGCATGACTCAGGGCTGTGGACACCAGGCTGTGAACTCTCCTGGCAGGAGGATTTCTCCTTTACTTTCTTTTATTTTCATTCCAGCAGAGAATGGAGAAACTTTAGAGATGGCAAGAACTGTTGCAAGTTGGGAGAGCTGCTTCCCATGAATGCTTAACCAGGAACGTCTGCTGCCTAAGAAATATGCAAAGAGCAGTCTACATTTCTGGCATACAGAAAGGCCTGGGTTTTCTGCAGGTCCTGTAGGGCGTTCAGCAATGCTTCCAAGTCCCCATTAGCAGTTAGAAAAGCAGCCAAGGTCTCTTTTGTGCTTTCCCTGACAGTGCTTTGTACCAGGAGTTACTCATGGGGGGGAAATTCAGTCCTGCTGTGTCACATGGGTGGCAGTGGTCCCCAAAACATTTGCAGCTACTAGGTGAAATTGTAGTTAAGAAATTGAAAGACCTGTTAGGAGACTGTATGTAATCTCCAATTATTAATGGGTTCAGCTTAATTTCTAGGTATTGAATCTAATATGGTCAAATTTATACATTTCCAGTCTCTGCATTTGAATGTTCGTTTTGGTACCAGGGTTTACAAAACCTCAGGAGCAGTGTTAAATTGCCCTCCAATGAAAGTTGGAAGTTGTCTGTGTATAACCACTGAAGGTCTGTCCCACACCTCCCACTCCCCCACAAACCTTTCCACCCCAACTCTTCCCTTCCTATCCCTGTTTCAGACCACTTCTGGCCCAAGCCCCCTGCTCTCTCACCCAGTTTCCCTCCAGGTCAGTAGTCCCGGGATCCCTTGGTGGTCTTGAGAAAGACCCAGACTGGAGTGCCAGATGTGCATGCCTGCAGCTCTCTGTCCTTCCACCTCCTACCTCCTTTGCTGGGTACTGCTGCAGCCTCTAGAGATGTTTGGATGACTTATTGTTGCTTTGTTTCTTACCCCTGAAATCAACCTGAGTGTCATCCCTAAATACATGATAGAACTGTACTCTATGCTTCATGTATTAATTTTTTATTTTCTTGCAAATTTCACCCCTTTGTTTACATCTGAAGTCCCAGTCCACCCTTGAAGTACCCTTAACCTCTTCACTACAAGCACAGTCATCCATGACTGATAAAAAATATTACTTCACTAAAGAAATTGTGTTCTGTGGTTTCTGTGTTTTAAGAATTTGAACTAAGCTTTCCTGTTAGTTTTAAGAGATTAAACCCACAGACTCTCCAAAGATTATTTTGGTCCAATGTTCCATTGTTTCATTCCTCACAGGTTTCATTCATTTTGGTTATATCTGCTGTTGGCAATGCTTACTTCCCAGCTCTTGTGTCTGAAATCTCTCTGTCCAGCCTTCCCTAAGCAGAAGCACCAGTGCTTGACTTTCCAAGAACCTGTTCCAGGACTTTCCTTTTCTCCCCATGGCCATTGCCACTTCTTCAAGCCTAGTTCTTGATAGCTCTCACTCTTAACTATTCACCTCATTAGGTCACTGTGCAAAGAATAGCGTGCTGCCCTACCTTCACCTGCCTCTGGACCCAGTTCAACGTTACTGAGAAGTTTTTATGAGGGTAGAACAGGAATTTGTTTGGACCTTGTGTTGGGTTGACCTTGGTGGGCCACCAGGTGCCCATCAAAATGGCCTATCACTCCCCTGCATCAACAAGACAAGAGGACAAAAATACAATGAAAAGCCCATGGAAATTAGGACAGGGAGATCACTTATCTACTGCTGTCCTGGGCAAAACAGCCTTGGCTTAGGGAAATCAATTTATTATCTTTCAAACAGAGTAGGACAATGAGAAACAAGATCAAATCTAAAAACACTCCCCTACACACCTTCTTCCCAGGCTCAGCTTCACTCTCAGCTTCTCTACTTCTTACAGCTGAGCAGTGCAGAAGCACAAGGTATGGGTGTTGCAGTCAGCTCATTACTCCCTGTCTTTACTGCTCCTTCCTCCCCACTGTCTTTCCCTGCTCCAGGGTGGGGTCCCACTCGAGGGAGACAGTCCTCAGTGTGGGTCCTTCCCACCGCAGGCTTCCGTTCCTTATGAGCTGTTCTAGCAGGGGACCTTTTCACAGGGTGCAGTCCTTCAGGAACTGTTACTCTAGTGTTCCATGGACCCCATGTCACAAGTTCTGCTAGAAGACCTGCTCCAGTCTGGGCTGCTTTCCATGGGTCCACAAGCCTGCTCCATCATGGGCTCTCATGGGAAGTTCTTGACTTCTGTCGAGGTGCATCCACCTGTTCTGGAGTAGGATCCTCCAGGGGTTGCAAGTGGATATCTGCTCCACCATGGACCTTTATGGGAAGAAAGGGGACAGCCTGCCTCATCATGATCTTCACCACAGGCTGCAGGGGAATCTCTGCTCTTGCATCGGGGACACCTCATTCCCCTCCTTCTTCACTGACCTTGATGTCTGCAGAGGTGTCTACAGAATTGTTTCTCTCACATATTCTCACACTTCTTTCTGGGTGCTGTTCTGCAGCAGTTTTTCCTCTTAAGGATGTTATCCCAGAGCTGTAACTGATGTCACTGATGGGCTCAGCTTTGGCCAGCAGTGGGTCCATCTTTGAACCAGCTGAAACAGGCTCTGGCTGGCATGGGAGCAAGTTCTGGTGTCTTCTCACAGAAGCCACCCCTGTAGCTGCCGTGCTACCAAAACTTTGCCACATGAATTGAACACAGGATGCCTTTAGGGATGCAAACATTGTGCAAAGTGCTAAATGCATTTATTAAATTGCATTAGTATAACATGAGATGGCTGCATAACCACTGTCCTCTACAGACTCAAATATATATCTACAGAGTGATTAATCTTTAGACATCCTCTGCAATTTCTTGGTTAATGTTTAAGTTCAGGGTACTAAAACTCAAGTGTTTTTCAGACTGCTCTGACTTTGCATCAGTTTTTTCTTTCTTTCTGACATCCAGCACTACACATCTGCAAATCATGGCCTTTGTGCTGTGTGTTGACTCCTTGCTCAGCTGTGAAAACAGCCTTTACATGATATAAAATCCTTCTGTTTTACTAGTAGCATGTCCTGTTGGGCTTAGGTATCAGTGTCCTTCAATGCAGTAGTTCATAAAGGCAAGTGTTGAAGAAGACCCATGTGTGCTAGGTGAAAGATCATTCCTCCTGGGCCCTTCTCAAAAAAACACCAAAAGACTTCTGTATTTACTCTTCTGCAATCTGAAATCATACAAATAGATTCCTACTTTGAACTGTCTGGAGGAAAATATGTTGCTTAGATTGAAGGACTGACACCTTTCTAGGACAAAGTATTCACTGTACACAGGGACATTTCCTACTCAAAACCTACTTGCATTTGAGGTTTCTTCACACTGAAGTCCAGTGTCTCCCACCACCACTGTGGGTGGTGGTGTCTGTGGCACAAGCCTTTTCCTACCTAATTGCTCAACACAGAGGTGGGCGTCCTCATCTTCATCACTTGTAAATCAGACGTGAAACAAGGCAGCAGGATTCAATTGCCTGAGTTTAAGGCACTGAGACACTCTGGTGCACATGGGACTTTTGCAATGGGATAATAGGTATGTTGCAGGACCTCTTGGAGATCTAGAGCTTTCTGGAGCCTTGGCTCAGTTAGCCCATATTCCTTGAGAAAGAAGACAACGAAGTACAGGGCAAGAGTTTGTCATCTCTGAAACCTACCAAAAAGAAAGGAGCATAAAACTGGAAGACCAAGGATCTACTGGAGGCAAAGAATGACATGTTGTGCACGTGGGCATCAGTCCTGGGATGGAATCAGCTGTGGGAAAACACCGTCAGGGCATTCATAATCATCTTTTTTTATCTCTAATCTTTACAATGAGATGTTAATTATTTATTGAGAACAGCAACAGGCCAAATTCTAATGTCACTGGAGTGCTATAAACCCAGAATAATTCTGCTTAAACATGAGACTTTCCTCTTGTGCACTAGAGGTTGTAATGCTGACAGATAACAAGCACAGGGGAAGGAGTCAGCGACTTTGAGATCTTCTTGGGCTGGCCTTTCACCAGCTGCACTGAATACATGGTGTTATCACGTTCCTCTCTGTAACATTCCTCCAAAGTAACTGATATGCCATCAGGTGCCATTTATGAGGAAGACCTTGCTGTTATAATAAAGTTACAAAGGTGACAAGTTTGAAGCTGATTGGCTGATGTTCTGTGGAGAGCTCAGCAATGTGCCCTATATATTGCAAGAGATGAGACCAGCTCCTTTTCCACCTGCAAAAATGGGTTCCAGCATCTTCCCACTCTGCCTAGCACTTCTGTTATGTTATGTTTATGGTACTCCGGCCTCTGTAAGTAGACACTTGATTTCCACAGGTTCCTCTCAGTCCAGAGACATCTCATTCCTTATGCTGGTTGTACTTTATTCTCTTTCAGGTCGGGCACCTCTCCCGTGAAGCTGGTAAGTGTCCTTTGAGCTGTTTTGAGTTTTGAAACATTTTCTTCTGCTTGCTGTGTGCCACCACATCTGAACACTTAATGTTTTGTCTGTCTTGCAGCAGCAGATGCTGATGATGGTGAGATAATCAAAGACATTCCAGATATAAACTTAGGTGAGTTTATGTCAAAATTCTCAGAAGTTCTGAAAAATTGTGAGCAAAATGCTGAATTTTTAGTACTGTAAAAAAAGATGTCGGGTAGTTCATGGAAACAAGACTAATATAACTGAGCTCTGAATTACCCTCCTCTGTCTATGACACATGAATCTATCCTAGGACTGTAACCCTACATAAACAAGGGGTGCAGATCTCCTTCACGTCTGAAGTCTGGACAGACCCATGGTGTTAAAGCATTTTCCTCCATATCTGTATGATTTTTCTGAAGTTACAAAGTGGAAAATAGCTTAGAGGTTTACTGAGCTTCTATATAAATGGTAAGGAAACAAAATGGAAAAGACACAGCATACTCTACTGCCTTCCTCTACTTTTTTTAAAAAAATTATTTTCCTGTAATGGAAATTTCCATATTTCCTTTGATGGTGCACTGTACAGTGTTCTTCCTGATGCATTGCTCAGTAGCACTGTATTCTCTAGAGCACAGTCTCACTCTCTGTTGTCACTTCTTGATAGCAAGCAAGAGGTTATCAGACTACACATGGATAATGTTGGCCATCAGATTTGTGCCACCAAAAATGCAGACATTGCTAAGTAGTGAACACTGAGTAGAAACTACTCTTGCATTTAGGCCTGTCCTTGTATTTCAGCATAAAGAGGCTGGTCCTTTTTTATTTTCCATAAATGCCCAGGGACTTTAACGTTGTATCAGTAAGCTCAATATGGTTTAAGAGGTGAAATAGATTTGATATTTCATTTACATTATCTTTCATTAAATTACTTTTCAGCTGCTGGACTGGACCTCTTTCAGGGTGACATCTTGCTCCCTGTAAGTAATAAAAAACTTTATGTCTATCACTTGTCCTGATAGTATTTTTGGTACAAATCATCTCCCCACAGCAGATGCATCACCAGCTATTAATTCCCTTTTCAGCAAAATCAGCGGAATGCCCTAAGAAATGAGAACTACAGATGGGAGTTCCCCATCCCCTACATTCTGGGTGATAATCTAGGTAAGGCAGATATTTTATTCAGATTTTAGCTCCAATTTTCATTGCAGTGTACTGCAGTCACTGTGATAAAAAAAATCCTTGTCTTTTTCAGAACTGATTCACATTAAAACTAATAACTAGATGTCTCCTTTCTATCAAACTCATGTTTTTTTCTTCTACAGCCATCATAACAAAACACAATTTAATAAAATGCAATAATTTTTTTCTGTTAAATCTTTTTAGCTTTTGGTCTCATGTGTATACCTGTGTGCATACCTTACCTCTCCAGGGTGAATGATCTTCAGAGTGTTAAAGTTGCTTTCCTGATGCATGTTTTCCAGATCTGAATGCCAAAGGAGTCATTCTCCAGGCCTTTGAAATGTACCGTCTTAAGTCTTGCGTTGATTTCAAGCCATATGAAGGAGAGAGAACCTACATATTCTTCAGAAAAGAAAATGGGTAAGAGTTACAGCAATTTCTATTTAATTTTGCTCTATAGAATCAGCTAGGGATTCTCTCCATTTGACTTAGAATCATGGAATCATAGAATCCTGTAGGCTGGAAGAGACCTTCAAGATCATCAAGTCCAACCATTAAGCCAACACTACTAAGTCCTTTGCTAAAACAGATCAGAATCTGTCAGGGTTGGAAGGGACCACAAGGGTCACCCAGTTCCAACCCCTCTGCCATGAGCAGGGACACCTCCCACTAGATCAGGCTGCCCAGAGCCTCATCCAGCCTGGCCTTAAAGACCCCCAGGGATGGGGCCTCAACCACCTCCCTGGGCAACCCATTCCAGGGTCTCACCACTCTCATGGGGAAGAACTTCCTCATGTCCATCCGGAATCTGCCCACTTCCAGCTTTGCTCCATTCCCCCAGTCCTGTCATTACTCGATATCCTAAAAAGTCCCTCCCCAGCTTTCTTGTAGCCCCCTTCAGATACTGGAAGGCCCCAATAAGGTCACCTCGGAGCCTTCTCTTCTCCAGACTGAACAGCCCCAACTGTCTCAGTCTGTCCTCACAGGAGAGCTGCTCCAGCCCTCGGGTCATTCTCGTGGCCCTTCTCTGGACACGCTCCAGCAGGTCCACGTCCCTCTTGTATATAGGGACTTCAGCAACTTGAAAGTTTAGTGTAAAATTGTTGTCAGCAGAGGAAAAAGGGGCCACCAGTGAAGAAACCCATCTTCTCAGACACAAAGCTTGGAAGCAGCTCCCTCCCTCTACTAAGAGGATATTTAGATAATGAAGTTGGAATCTGATGTTTGGATGATTACTCTTCGATGAGGTGGATTCCAGCATCCCTGGGTTTTTCCACTTCACTACCTGGGATTGTTTTCCATTTCAGTGGTGGATGAAACAAGTCCCATGTACATCCTCTTAACTTAACAAGGATGTGAATAGCCAGAATTTAGTTTTTGAAATCTTTGGAGGACAGGTCAAAAATAGCTGTGCAAGGTCAGTTTATCATAATATTGCTATTGTTTTGATGTGGCTCTTCTTTAATTAAAGATTCTCTCAAAATCTGAAAGGATTCGGAGATTCAGGTTTTCAGGAACTGGAAAAAAAATTATTTTATTTCCTAATTCTAAACATGTTTGAAAGAACATCCAGAAAAGAACAAAAATCTCACTATAACAGATGTGACTATTTCTGGTTCTCCTAGCACTTCATGAAGGCCTACAGGCACTGATATTTCTCAACTCTTCCGTGAGTAACATGTCCTATGACCCTTCCCTTAAAAAAAAATGCAAGCACTGTGATTTTTGACAAGTTGTTGCTGAAAAGCCTGATACTGGAAAATCCCTGGTAGCAGCTATTCAAGACACCATAGGCTCAAGCTCTTTGTTTTCAGTGCCAGCATTAGTGTGTTCAGAGGTCCTTCAACAGACCTCACCCCACTGCTTTGTGATGTGTAAATGAAGCTACAGTCCAAGAGGATGCTCTTTAGCAGTTGCCTTTCACATCATCCTTGAGCTATCCTAAAAAGTTCCCAGTGAATTGGCTGAAAAGCTCCTTTCCTCCTCAATCACAATGAGCTTAGTCTGCTTTCAGAGTAGAGTATTTGTAGAGTATCAAGGCATCAGATCAGCATCTAAATAATGATTTATGTTACTTCTTTTATATTTAAAACATTTTTGATGTTACTTATTACTCATCTGAGCAGACTGAGAACTCAAATAGAAAGGAGGAAACGCTACTTAGCAGACAGTCAGATCTCTCTCTTTCTCAGGTGTTGGTCCATGGTGGGAGACCAGCAGACTGGACAGAACCTCTCCATTGGGGCACGGTGTGACTACAAAGCAATTGTGGAACATGAGATCCTGCACGCTTTGGGATTTTACCATGAGCAGTCAAGGATGGATCGGGATGACTATGTGACGATCTGGTGGGATGAGATTATTGAAGGTGAGTTTTGACCTTCAAGTCAGATTTTATAAGGTGCAGATTCACCAGGACTTATATTTCCTCCTGGATTTTATGACCTTCTTAAAGACATGATTTTAGAAACTCTGGGCCACACCTGAGTCCACTGTAAATCGATCTGTAGATGAAGCAGGATTTTGATACGAGTTCTCTGGTCAAAGACACTGAGCATAAACTCTCGTTCCCAGGGATGGGGCTCTGAGATGCTGGTGGTCATGCCAATGTAGCAAAGCTGCCCTCTCATTGTTCATGCTGTGTGTGGACAAGATGATCACATCAGCCTCCAGGTGCACCCACCTTCTTTGCAAATAAGTGAAAAATGCATGAAAAATAGTCATCAGAAAGGGCCAAGATTCAGGGAATACTGTGTCCTGGTTTGGATAGATATGAACTGCTGGTACAAGCAGTTTCTGCTGACATCTAAGCAGCATCTGATATTTTTAATTGTTCCAAGTTAAATGGCCTTGCACATTGCTACTTGCTTCTACCCTGTAACCTACAGTGTCTTTTGGGATGCCTGAGCAATGGATGGGATGTGGATATTAGTGCTGCAGACCATTGTTTCTATTGTTAGGAACAGCACTAAAACCAACTCACCTTACTCCTACCTTGTTCTTATCTTGAATCATGTTGATGAAGGTGATGATGAAGGTAATAGTATCTAGACTTGGACTTCTGGGCCCCTTTTTACTGCGTTCTTTAGCTAACCACCTCCAAAGGAAGAAGTCTTACAATGTGCTTATAATTCACTGTTGTGAGCTCCATGAGGTACAGAGGTATGAAAAAGCTTGACAAAAAAGTGTCAGTTGTCTAGGCATCCTTTTTTTGCCTTTCCTCCAAAAAAGAGTGTCATTTGATTCTCTGAACTTATCTGTGGTGTATTCAGTAGCTACAAACCTGGAATACCAAAAAAAGAAATAAAAAAAATTAGACAGATGATAGTCTTCAGTGTGAGACTATTCTGAATGAGTCCTGGGAACAGCCTCATACCATTACAGTCAATTGTTATATTCTGTAGGTTTCTACCCATATTAAAAAAAAAAAAATAATTTTCCAGTTAGGCAAATTTATTAAGTAGAAAACTTCTGCTGAAACCGTTTGAAAGATACCTGCTCCTCTAAAGAGAAATAAGGCTGATATGATTGTGCTGTGTGTGCATTTGTTTGCACGTGTTCCTTTATGAGTGATCTGCAACTCCAGATTTAATACTATGGCAGCAGTTTTTCCCAGAATGTATTTTTCATAAGCTGCAATGCAGAGGGCTGGCTGGTAGGAGAAGAGGTCTCCTATTTGTGTTGCTGTTGACAGAAAAGCTAATAAGTTTATTAGACTTCAGAGAAAGCAGACAAGAGAGCCTAATGAATTTGCCATCTTGATGGATGGTTTCTTTTAAAAACATCTAGCAGTTACCCTTTGCCTGGTAATGATCTTAAAAGCCACCATCATTACACACATCTGTGTCCTGCCAAGATTTTTTCCCAGCTATAAAAAGTGATAACACTTAATTAGCAAGATTCTCATCCTTCTTGACAAAAGGTGTGACTCAAGTATCTGTAAGAAAACAATCCCAAACTCTTGTACAATCTCAAGCCTTGGACTGATGATCTTTGTGCCCAGAATGGACTTGCAGAGGGGAAGGGCAGTCTTTACACAGAGAAGTTGTAATTAGCCACCAGCACGGTTACTTGCTGTTTCTTCTTGGAGAAAGAATGCCAAATATTATGAAAATATAACTTGTAGTTGGAAATGCTGGCAATCTCTCTTTACTTCCATACCAATGCATGTGAAATCACTCCCTCTCTCTGCCCTGGCAGACATCTTCATGCTGAAAAGCTTTCTCTAAGGAGAACTTATTTCACCAAGACACCATAAGAACATGTTTCTGAAAGCCATTTCAACAGAAATATCACAGCAGTATTGTCAATCTAGGGTAAAAAAAAAAATATTTTTTTTTTTTTTTCACAGATTCTTAATGTATTCTTTGCTTCAAAGAACAGAACTTGGAGACACTCCAGGACTGTCATGCCTGTCCCCTTAATGAGTAGAGGGCTCCAAGGTTTCCAGATATGATCTAATATCCTGGAAATGTTTTCATCAATATTCATAGGCTCTGGAATGGAGTACACTGATCCTTATATTCAGTCCTCCAGAATGCTTACTATTAGACCATCTAATCTGACCTATTATAGATCACATTTTTTACAACTTATTGAAATCTGATTTTGAACTTACTGAAGTTACATGTGAGGGCACAGAACTGTGATCTAAAGACACTTCTTTGTTGTGCATAGGACTTCATAAACAAATCTTGCTAAATCTGAGTATTTTGCTGTCAAGTAGTTGCTTTCAGGTATATTAATTCTGTCTCTGAAAATGGTATCCAAGGGACCATGCTGAAGCCACTTTTTCCCATTTTATCTAAAAATCAAGCACCTTTCTGTTCTTTTACCAGGCAAAGAGCACAATTTTGTGAAGTACGATGACAGCTTCATCACGGATCTGAACACCCCCTACGACTACGAGTCGGTGATGCACTATGCACCACTTTCATTTAACAAAAATGAAAACATCCCCACAATCACAGCAAAGATACCAGAGTTTGATAACATCATTGGGCAGCGTCTAGACCTCAGTGCCATTGACCTGGAAAGACTGAATCGCATGTATAACTGCAGTAAGTCATCATTTCACCATGGCAAAGGCTCTTCGTTTATACTTGAGCCTGACTGGTGCTCTTGAGGAGGTATAGGAGAGGATCTGTGGTGTAGAGACCTAAACTGTTTACTCCCTCCTCATCCTTCTCTTTGTGTCTGCTAATTGTCATTACTTTTGTAAAAGTCAACTTGCCAGTGAAAGTCAATCCATTTATATCTTCTCTTCCATGTTGCTCCTAAGGGTTCAGACATGTGGTTGTGTTCTGCTGGTGTATGGGCAGCTTCATTGTGCTTTTGTGAGGTGAATGGTATGGTACTTTGTCCATCTTTAAGACTTCATTTTGTGCCTGAGGTTGGCTAAGTTTAGAGTCCAACACTGTCTAGTTGGTTGCTAAGGTGGTTGAAAGTGTTATCACCACATGCCATTGTTAGCAAGACGTTGTTGTCCTCATGGATTTGTCAACAGAAGCATCAACTTGCAGGCAAACTCAGCTGAACTAAGTAAGGTAACTGGGTGGTCTTTGTCTGAAGTAGAACGGTGCTCATGCTCATCAAGCAAAGAAATGAGCCATGAAGAGCCATAACCTCCAGCCAAGGAGAAGTTAAATTCAACACCATCACTGTTCACAAACTGACATGTCTCTCCAAAGCTTCCAAGCAGGCACAGAGCCAGCCACCATTGGTCACTGTTTCAGCTGCCACGTGGGAGTCTGCTAATCTTATCCAAAGTGGTCAAATGTTGTCTTTATAGCGGACATCTCTTTGGGAATCAGATGTTTCCTCTTTTGCACCTTTGGGCTCACATCTGTTGTGGGTTGTCTTTTCTATATGATGTCTATACTAGTGTAAACAAAGACCCCCAAAATTAGAGCAAAAACTTTCATGAGCTACTGCTTTGGATGTCACCATGTGTGCATTTTCTTTTCAGCTTCAACGCACACCCTTTTGGACCAGTGTTCTTTCGAGTTTCAGAATATCTGTGGTATGATTCAGGGCACCAGAGACGATCTAGATTGGGTCCACCAACGGAGCAATGCTACAGGGCAAGAAGACCACACACTTTCTGGGCGCTGCAAAGGTAAAATGAAGGAACAGAACACTTCCCTATGGAGAAGGGGTTAGGGGTTGGAGTAATGGTCCCTTGTGCATGTCTGTACTGGTCTGTGTGGTTTAGATATCCTGTCTTCAACAACTTCTCTGAACTTGTCATTGTAGTCGACCCTTGAGTAAACCCGGTGCTGGCTACTCTGAAAACCCAGGGTTAAATGACCATATTTAAGACACTACACAGCAAACATCTGAGTTGTAATGTTCCTTGTCAAGGAAAAAGCCCATTTTCTCTTCACGTGTCTTGGCCCTGTGGGTGTGAGTTTATGGCTGCACTCGTGCTCTCATTAAGCTTTTCCAGCACAGTGGACTGTTATCCATAACAGCAAGATAAAAGGGGACAAAGAACCATCTCTGCTAGAGGCCTTTTAAATATAGACTGGAAAAGGACTTACTCCAGCTTCCAAAGTCTGAGTAAGAGTTATATTACCCCATGATAAGAATGAAACAACACTTATAGCCACTCATAAATGTTGTGTTTGCAAAGCAAATGATAAGTTAAGCTTGAGGAGTGCAGGTTCTGAAGGTAGAAGAAAGTTGCAGTGTTTTAAGGTAGGAGTTTAGGGATAACTTTCTTTTTCACATGGTAATTTTGCCATTTTTCAGAGGAACAAAATCTGAAAAAGGGCAGAGTCAGCCCCAGCCACAGAGTGCTAGCTCACAAGTGACAATAAAGATTAAATCCCAACACACAGTTCTGAAAAGTAAGGGCCTGTTTTCTCATTGTTTAGAAAAGATAAACTACCATGGGCTTCCAAAAAAAAGTTACTTTTGTAGTAAATTTTCCCTGAGCACAGAGTGAAGGTATCCTGTCCTGAAGCACATTCATTTGTGCTTTGTTACTCTTTGATAAAGGAGAAACTTGGCTTGCTGCACCCAGAAGTAGATTATTCCCCTTATTTCACCCACTCACTGGAAAGAAAGATCCTCAGCTTCTTGTAATGCTGGTACTTGTTGATCAGGTCCAAGAATGCAATATAACTCAAGAAAACCATCTGACAGCTTGTAGAATTACATGCTCCTAACCCTCATCTGACTTTTTAAATTCCTTCTCTCATTTCTTTTGCCCGAACTTTTTTTTTTTTTTTTTATTTTCCTCTCCTATTCATGTTAAGTCCTGCATGTACACCTACCAAAAGAGTGGTCCTGAAATGATAAATTTACACCATGCAGCTAGTGGAAAATTGGGAAAGAGACACTGACACTCTACAATTTCTTCACAGATGCTGGCTACTTCATGTACTTCAGCACCAGCTCTGGCAAAGCAGATGAGGTGGCAGTCCTGGAGTCTCGAATCCTTTATCCAAAGAGAACTCAACAGTGCCTCCAGTTCTTCTATAAGACCACAGGAAGCCTTTCTGACAAGCTGATCATCTGGCTTAAAGAGGATGATGGCACTGGAAATGTTCGCAAGATGAGGAAAATCCAAACCTTTCAAGGTAACTCTGGAAAGATGAGGAATATCTAGAATATTAGGGGAGGGAAAGTTGTCTTACTGTGTTCATGAATGCAGTGGATTGGCTCAGAAATCAAAATATTTTTCCAAAGCTACCAGAATATCTTGCAATCCAGCTAAGGATGTAAATACCTGTGCTCACCTGCAGTCAATAAGAATCTCAGCCTGATTTTTATACAGTTGGAAATACAAAAACATAAGTAGTTTGGAAATGAGAACTGAGTTCCCACTTCGGGCCGTTTTGTTAGGTAGGACAAATTCAGCCACTGTGGCATTATGTTTTTATTTTGTCAAAAGTCAAAATCTGTGATAACCTGCCTGTATCAAGCTGCAGCAGTTTGCAAGGAAAGATAAGTCCCTGGAAAAGTGGCAGAAATTGCTAATTCTAGAACAAATTCTAGCACTCCCATCTACTTGTTATGTTTTGGCCCTTTGCCTGTTGCCTTTGTCATTCACTAATGTGTGAAGACTCCCTAATATAATGTATCATAGAATCATAGAATCA